AGCATCTGCGCCATGCAAAACTGTTCTTCCACTTGGCATTAAATGCCTCGTGCCCTCGGGCGGAGAAAGGAAATCGCGGGCGCGAGCGGGCCACGTGGACCCCACCTGGCGGACTCTGGCCCCTGCTGCCCGGCGTCTCCATTCCTGTGGGAGGGACCTGGAAGTGATTCTGGCGCAGCACCACTCCACCAAGAAGGGAGCAAAGACGCAGAAGGGAGAAAGGTCACTTGGCAAGTTAGCGGCACTGCTTCGGGCTGCTCCCAAGCTACTGCGCCTATAAACCGTGGCTAACATCCAGGTGCCTTCCACCTAGATAGCAGACAGCAAAGGATACGCAAAGATACATGTTACGCTTATTAAGCCAGAGGCTCGTCTAAGGGCATTTGGGGAAGAGGTAAGAAGTAACAGATCCACAAACCACAAAGCGCCTTACTGTATCGGATGGCGCTTACCAATGACTTCTTTAAGGGCAGCTGGAATTGAAACCCTTTGAGGGTTTCCCAGCAAACCAACAGCGTCTACGCAGTGGATACATATGATAAAAGCTGTGTCAGAAATTGGGAGTCCAAGAGTGCAGCTGAGGCTCCGATGGACAATGGCCTCTCAGGTGCAGTCCATCCCCCACCTCAGGGAGGGACTGCAGAGATTTGGAACACATTTTCCCCTTGCATTTTTACCATTCCTTCCCTTGTAGACCAAATCCAATTATGTCCCAACCTAGAGTGAGACTGACCTGAGCGCTGCCGGTCGGAGGAAGAACGTGAAACTAGCCGCAGCCACACAGGTCAGTGCAGGAGACCCTGGAGGAGCTCAGTACTTACTGTAGCCTAACCTGGCCCCAACTTACTGTGTGATCTTGGGCCTCCGAAGAGGCTGGACTAGATGACCCAAAGATCTTGACAGAAACCTCCTTTTGTACTGATCCCCAGGCCTGGGGCATAGTCAGTGAGTACTTGTTTGAGGAATGCAGGAGTGAATGAAGGATCTGAGTCTCCCTGGAGCATGCATGGTTTCCACAGAATCAAGGAAAGGGAAAACACCAAAGAGAAGTGAATCTTCGTACATGAGAGGATATGACAAGCAGAGGTACCTTTTCTCTTAGGCACCCTGATCAACTTTATTTTTATGTAGCCCTTGAGTAACCACTGGGTATCAGGTACCACTTAGGGAGAGGGGTGTTATCCCCACCCTAGCAAGTTTAATTCCTAGGAGGGAATGAAATTAACAATGAAGTGAAATGAACAATCCCATCAGAGAACATTACAGCCCCAGGCACTAAATGGGACAGCTTTGATTCCATGGTGAACACTCTGGTATTTGTCCCTGCTCTGTGAAGAAACATTTTGTTCCAGGGACACAGAGGTTTCCTCAAACTCCGGAAGTCTCCTGGGTCCAGTGCTGAGGCCAAGAGGGGAGTATTGTCTGC